AAGATTGTTACTTGGCCAGTCACGAACGTATGCAGCAAAGTGTTCGCCCATTCGACAGGGTCGCCGTGCCCTTACCAACTTCTACAGCTTCAACAGGAGTGGAAGTCTCTACAAAAATCCGATTTTCACGCTCATTGAATGATTGATAGATTTACAGAGCCTGGATCACCTTGTGCAATGGTATTTGAGCCTGACATCACAACACGACGCGCGAACAACAACAAAAAAAAATCACACAAGAAAGGACTTGGAATCTCTGGACACGAAGACTTTTGTCATCCATCGAAAGATCGGAGGCAACACCGTCCAGAATTCTACTAGGCCACAGCAGCTCACTTAAAGTTCCTGTATTCATAGTCCAAGGCCTGATGCAGTACTCGAACATTTGCATCATCGTGGCGTTGATGCTAAAGAGGAGATAGCCAATCAATACAGCTTTTAAGTGGATTACATGGCCGACGTCACTTGTTGAGGCTAGATATAAGATGTGCGAATTTAAATTTAATTTGTTTGGTAATACCTTTTTTGGTATATTTATGTCTACTGCTACCAACACGTGTGCCATGTTTTTGGTACTGTCTAGTGGGTTAGCATTTTTGTCTAGTGGCTCTAGTAATTCCCTGACCTGTCGAAGGTGTTGCAGCGCTTTGAAGCGTTGTCCAAGTGTGTGACGTAAGAAATGGGGATGGCACAGCACAAGATGGGCCTTCAGTTCAGGTACAGCACAACGAAACCATATACACTGACCTCATTCTCTAGAAAAGAGAAACGCGAAGTCTGCCCAAGACACTCCATTGTATGACGGTCATCTACAGTGCTACCGCAATTACAGTCGGGCAGGAGTCGTATCAACCTCTCCTGCTGGCTGTAGTTGTGGTAGCACTGTAGATAGCCGTCACGCAGTAGCACATCGCTGCAAAAGACAAATAATATAACTGCTTCGAATTCAAACACTTGAGCTGCAGTAGACATGCTATGCTCGAGATTTTAAGCTTCTTCATGCGCAGTACGACTTTGTATTCTCCTCTAACCTGACAGGCAATGTGAATCAAACTGTGATGTGGCAGGGTGAATTTTGAAACCCTAAGTGTTGAGTGAACCTCATCCCCGTTGATTTCGGCTAAGCGGCAAAGGATGCCAGTGCGCCTAAAAGGCTTGTACAATGAGTTTGTGTAAGATCAAGTAAAAGGAATCACTTGCAGCACTACTGGATTAGTGTTTGCATGCCTAATTCCAGCTATTTTCCCGCTTAGGGATAACGTTAGTTAAATGATTTAGTATTTACTGCAAAACGTATTAGCATCAAGGGTTTGGACAAATAACAGTAGAGGTCGGGTGTTCGACTCGTTCATTGCAGTTTTTGAGAATTTACCATCAAAATTTCATTCTTGATACTTCCTCCGGGACGAAATAAGTGCTACATTGTACTATCCACACCTTTAAGATGATATGCTCTCCAGATCGGTTTGGAGAGGAACAACAGATCGAAGATCACCGAGCGAGACACACCCACCTCTTTTGCTAAACTGTCTTGGGTCATGCGGCGTCTGAAAGGGA